AGATGTTATGGGCCCGAGCGTAGGATCGCGTCACAGGTCGCTCCACCGCAGGAACCTCAGATCTTTCCTTGCCCTTGGACTTGCGTACAAACCCTATTTTGACTATCTTGTGGGTGATTTGTCCAAGAGATCACCGAACTCTCCTTTACTCTCTTTCTTAACTGAATATTCGATATCTTCATTCAATAATGGCGTCTCCTTGAATAGGAGATTACAAGAGGAGGGTTCCTTGTTGGTTTTGGCTAGGTTAGTCCTAAACGGACTCAAACTCCTACTTMTATTTAGACTACTTTACTTTTAATGGTACTACAATTCCTTCTAAGAATAGGGGATAAGGGATAAGGTGCGTTCTCTTGACGTATCCAGGTAAGGGTGGGCCCACCCTATGAGCTGTCGTGTGGGCCCCGCTCTGCTGCTGCTGCTGGTGTGCATGCGCGCGGCTCATGGTGCCGCTGCTGTGCGGTGCCAGTCGCGTGCGCACTGCTGCCTCAACTGCTGCCGTGTGGTGCGGGTGCTCATAACATTCTTCTTTTATAAACAAGCACCTGCAGTTCTGCAAGCCCCTAAAGCATTCTTTCTGGCTATTATACCTTGTGAATTTTTTCTTCTTTTCTCAGGACCCTCCCTACCCACACCATAATAATCAAGGGAACTTACATTTGCACAATATTACAACCCGTAGGGTGACTGCAGGTGGGTTTGTATTAGAATGTCATTTTCTTTTATCAATAATTTGTATTGGAATACTATCCCACTTTTTGCCTCTTTGTAGGGGTTTTATTAAGCTCATTTTCCCAGTTAACGCTCAGCCAAAACCCCTATCAATATTGAATAGGCAAAAAGTAGGATAGTATTCCGATACAATTTACTGGCAAAAGAAAATGGCATCCTAATACAAACCCACTTGCAGTCACCCCATGGATAGAGGCCTCAAATACAACTCAACCAGATACAATTGATGGTATGCCTTAACTGAGGAAATAGGCTCAAAAGAATCCCTATAAAGAGGCAAACACGTTTGCCTATGAAGGATCCCTATAAAGAAAGCAACAAGTGTAGAGCTTTTTGCATTTCTAAACTGGATATTTTCTTTCACGTTTTATAGATGTTTGTTTGAGCACATTATGGATTTTCTTGTGGTTTTAATTGATGATGGTATGCAGAGGTTAAGATTTAGTTTACTCTTCTGGATTTTGTATTATAAATTGTCATTCCAAAATCCAAACTTTCCAATAGTTTTTTTTTTTTTTTTTTCGGTTCAAAAAATTGTAAAAGAATGTCAGAATTAGTTCATTAAATGTTTGACTACCACATATTTGTCATCTTGTTCGATTAAAATTATTCACCGTCAAGCTGTTGGGTATATGTGTAGGTGCCACCTAGTCGTTCCTAGTTTTTCACATGGGGGGTATATAATTAGCCTTTTTTTTTTTTTCTCTCAGGTTTATGCTCTTGGAGGCTTCATGATTCTAAGGTGGATATGGGCCAGATGGAAGGAGAGGAGGGACAAAGATGACACATCGGGTGAACGAGGTGACTAGCATCTTTATTCCTTAGCCTTTATACATCAATGGTCGTCATTTGCAAAGAGTCACCAATGTATCATTCTACCTACGTGGAGAAAGAAATCGCTGCCTAACAATTTGACCAAGTATAGAAATGGCTTTTCTTTGTTTGCTTTCTAGATCATACTGGAGCTTGTTTCTCTCTGTCTAGTTTTGTAGCCAACGTGTTGGGTTGGGTTTGAGTTTTTTCCCTTTGGGTGCTGTTGGTTTCAAATTCAATTCACCCATTCAAAAAGGGAAGGTGAAAGCAACGATGCTTGCTTTGTCGATACTACATGTTAGTTGTCCGGTTGTCCCTCTCAAATTCGTGTATTGGTGGGCCAACGAGCAGCGACCTTTGATTGGCTTCAGATGGCAGAGAGAGAGAGTGTGAGTGTGTGACAGTTCATCGGTTCATCCATAAATGCTTGGTCAACATAGCAAAGTCGACAACAGCATCTACTTTGGTTTGTTTACTACAATAGGCGATTCTGCTTTTTTGTGTTTCTTAAATTGAGTCCCATTTATAGTTTCATTGGTTCCATTGTTTGCTATGATGCAGACCCATCGTGCTTTATAGGCCAATATCCATTTGCTTTTCCTTGCCTTCTTTTTTTTGGCCCCACATGGAGCCTGGAATTGCTACTGGAAGAGCTGAAAGCAACGATGTGGCCAAGTCTGCAATTCTCTCTCTCTCTCTCATGGTTTTCAAACCGGACCTAACCGAACGGTTGGACCGAAAAACCGGGAACCCCATAACTGTTATTTTGCCAAAAACCATTGATTTGGTCAGCAAACTACTGACTTGGGCGGTTGAACCTTTCAAACCATCCAATAGTTTTGGTTGTTTTAAATTTTTTTTTTATATTTTTTTGTCAGAACGGGCCATCTATTTGGTTTGAACGGTTGGACCATTCAACCCGGAAACCGGACCCCTAAATGGTTTGTTGTCCGGTTTAGTTTATTAGAGGTTTGTGAGGAATTAAGCAAAGTCAAGCATGCTTTACCATGGTGTAATGATACCGTAAGCAACCTAGCGCCTCATAGTTGAGAGGCAATCCATAGGCTGTTTAGTGGGCGTTTGACAACCATTTTTGCTGAGCTGGCAGTTGTTTTAATCAACCATGTTCTTGAACACCCTCTTAGTTTTTTCATAAATCATAATTTTTAGTTATTAACCTCAACTATCTAAGGTATTACTTTTAAGATCCATTTAGTTTGTTGGAATAGGGGTCTTGAATTTGTTTCAAAAAAAGGAATAGGGGTTTTGAATGGTTCCATCCCGATTCCAACTGTTTGGTTGGATGGAATTGGAACCCTATTCTCATTCCTGGTGAAATGGTATTCCCTTATTTGAGGGAATAGTCATTCCTTCTCCCTCCCTTGAGAATGACAATCCAATTCTGGTTCTGATTCTGATTCTAGTCTGAATCAAATAGGTGAGGAGAATAGACCATTCCGGTTCCAATTTTAATTCCAACTGCTTCAAATTTCATCTCTAATCACATTTATTCAAAATTTAATTCACATTACATCAAATAGCTGAATGAAAAGTTGGATATTTTGTGCTTGTTATTTAGAAGTAGTGAGTTGTTTTTACATTCTACCAGATAATCATTTAACAGCTTCCTATCATGAGGCCGTGTCTCACCGTTTGTGGTCTGGTAAACTAGTGGAATTATTTCATTTGCACATTAGAGGTTTGGTCTCGGGCTGGCGAGTATGAGAATGCAGGCTTGAGTCTGAGAATCAAGAGTGGCCATTCTCCAAAAAAATGTCAGTCTGGCGACTCTGGCCTTCCCAAGACCCCTGATAGCTGGGAYTAACGTGTTGAGTAATAATGGTTTTTAGACATTACCATGGGATCTCATACAAGCAAAAAACTCTACACACTCTGAAAGTACGATCATTCAGCTACACAGTGGGAACATTTATGTATTTAATATACATGCATGGGAGATACTCTCACAAATGGTTAAATGCCATGGGTGCAGAGTTTTACTTGCGGGAGATCTGGGCTCTGCTCTGCCACCTATACATTGGTTCTGGATGAGCTAGATCACAGGCCAAATGGGGTCCCAGAGATGGATAGAAGATGAGCTAAAGGACTATTACCCAATTCTGCTCCATGCGATCCAAGTTTGGGAGGGGTGGGGAGTGGACTGGATATATAATATACCTAATGATTGGCATTTTGTACAATGTAGCGGCCAGTTGATAACAGCTGAAGTTGCTGAACCAATGATTTATTGCTTTGTCTTTCAATGGATAAAATAATTAAATAAAAAAATGTTCAAAGGTGTATTACTCTACCTAATTTCACTTTCAGTCATAACTAGTCCACAATTTCTTTAAAAAGTCGTTCACTAAAAGACAAAGCAATAAGCCTTTCAGTTCAGCTATTTCAGCTGTTATCAAATGGCCCCTTAGACCTCAACCCGCGATTCTCAAAACAATGGACCCTTGAGAAAGCGTTTCTCAAAACAATGGACCCTTGAGAAAAAAGACAACTTAGATGATTGATATTTTGGACTATGCATTTGGAGGAAGAAGAAAAATATCTAAAAAAGAAAACCCTATGCCGAGGGTCTCCAGTCCCAAAGATTGATAAAGATCTTGCTCCATATAGGAACACAGTTATATAAATGAATATATTATATTGTTGCCTTTTGAACTATCAAAAATCCAATTCTTAAAATGTTAATGAAAAAGATGAATTTTGTTTTGCCATTGACGGGGGTTACATGGGATATCACCTGTTCCCTCTTTGCTATGCTGTTCTTGCCTCTTTACCTAATCTGTTAGGTAGAAGGTCTCTATATTGTCTGGATTTATTTTATTTTTTTGCAGAAAAAAAAAGAAGTGGTTTATATGGTTCAGTCCACCCCTAGGGTGGAACTAGGATTTCTAGAGGTGGACTGAATCCTGCCCATGGATTGATGCCAAATTCACGGGCAGGATGAGGTTTAGAGGGGGGGCTACTAATAGACTAGGAGTGGGTGGCAATTCAGATTTCTGAGGTGGATTGCAGTCCACTTATCCCAAAAAAGAAAAAAAAAAGACTTCTTTCTTTTTACAAATTATATTAGGGATTAATTTGGTGGAATGATTTTGATCACTAAAAAACAATCAAATTTGCTTAAACTGTTAAACAACCGTATTGTCCTTATGGTTTTGGCAATTCAAAAGTACCGATCTGGTTAAGTCGTCACTATCTTCCATCCTGGCTTGATTTGTCTTAAAAAATCTTCTATTACCTACAAATTGAGATTAAACGCATGGGATTGATAAGAATGCACAGCTTGTAAAAATGGGAGCAATATTGTCACACTTGGACTAGATGTAGTTCCATTTCTGTCATTGTGTCACGGACTCACGGGTAGAAACATTTCAGTTTGATTGGATCGTACGACAACTTCGACTAATTTATACAAAAAAAAGCAAAAAATGAAAGAAAAATTGCTTATATATCATCTTTTACAACAAAATAAACATAGTCAATAAATAGAGATTTAAATCGGGCTGTGCCGTCCATGGCCCGGAACGGTGGTTCACGGGCTGTGCTGGGTACGACATGATTGTATGAGCCGTGCTGGGCTTGGGGTTTCAGGTTCATGGGCTAGGTCAGCACGACATGACTGAGTGGGCTGTGCCGCCCGCGACCTACGTATTGGCATGGCCCATATATATTTATATATTTTATATGTTTATGTATATATACGCATAACATTATATTTATATATATACATTATAATTATATAATAATATATAGTATATAATATATTAATAAAATAAACAATTGTTTTCAATTTTATTATACTATTTTATTTAATTATTGTATATATAAAAATTGTATACATTGGAATTCATGTAAAATAAAAATTTTAAGATTTTTTCAAAATTTTTTTATATAAATAGTTTTGGCTTGGCCCATGGCCTGACGTGGCTTAAGGTTTGACCCATGGCACGATACGGGCCTATACGGACTCGAGCTGTGGGTTGTGTYGGGTAGACCCCCCAAAATATCTCAAGGAAGGAAGACGGCCTAGGACAGCCCGTGGGCTGGCATGGCATAACTCACATTTTGCTCGAGGCGCAAGCAGGCCGTGCTGTGCCAGTCCAACACGGCCTGTTTTACAGCTCTAGTCACAAACACTTATTAATGCATATATTTGAGGTGCCAGCTACTAAGTTATTATTCCCCAAGAATCAGACAAGCAAAAACTGTTTTGGCTGTTGGCTACCAGTTCGAGCAATGTGACGTTCCCAGAGTCTGAGTCTATATCTGTTATGTAGTGTCTTGTGGGTAGAGAGTGGGTAGCGTTTAGTCGGTAACAGATTTGAATTTATACAGTTCAGATATGATAACATCTAGCTTACATGAGCACCCCACAGGCGCTCTGTATACACATCTCAGCATGCATTAGGAATCTCTTGTATTTGTCATTAGGAATCCAGTATGTTGAAATGTGCTGTGGGGTGGCGGCGGATGCAAATTTGATAACATTGGATGGAAGAGCGTATCTCAATGTAACAAGTGTTTCATTACATGTGTATAAACACCTATACATTCGAGTTTACATCTCTGCCTCACAAGCAGCCGCTCCACAACACCCCACAGCACATCCCCACCGTATATTGGGAATATCTCCCGATGATGACAGCCAATTGTGGAGCGGAGATGTGATCTCCATGCATACAAGACCAGACATGCCATCACGTATTGAATGGAAATGGACGAGTGCTGACCTGAACTCCTAACATAGGATGCCTGAGAGATTGCTGCCAGTAGGCCTACAAGTGGGAAAGAAATGAAGGCAGCCTTCAGAAAAAGTGGCTGCGTTCAAGATGGTTCATCTTATCATTGTGGTTTGTTTCACAAGCAATGCATGCCATGTGAACACGGACTTGGGCTAAAATGATTGGTCAGTGAAAAAGGAATGTGGCCCAGAAACTTAGCTTCTCTATCCCAAAGCAAGGGTTTGTGGTGTTACCGTTGGTGTGACCGTTATTTTCAGTTATTACATCACATGGATAAAAATGTTGTTTTGAGCTCAGCCCCTCAAGTCCTCAACCATCTTGTAAACCGCAACTCTTAACAGTTAAAAAACCAGAGAGAGAGAGAGGTCGGTTCACCCATTAGTAGCGCACTGGGCAGAGACAGAGTGGGTCACGGCCTCACGGGGCTAAGAGCCTAGACGCGTTAAGATAATAATACAAGGTGCGCGTTACGTTGTGATTGTGTATTTTCACGTGGATCTCCGGGCCCGCAATGAAACGAAAGCTGTCCTCTGAGTTTCTCTCTCTCTCGTGATCATGGGTGCAGCAGGGGGCCAGAGGCCCAGAAAACACTCCCAGGGGAGAGGGAGAGGGAGAGGGAGACACAGATGCAGACATGATGGGCTTTATCGTTGCAAAGCGTGAGCGGTTTCTGCGATTCTTCCGTGTCAGGGGATAGGGATACCAGCCAACCGGCCAAGGCCAGAGACGCCCAGGTGACGGATGTGCAGTTCCACCTAGGACAGAATCTTTGCATGATTAGCCTTACCAAACACGGCGTTTTGGGTTGAAATTATATTAAAGGTGTTGATTATTTTTTCTGCTGGAGGGGGGTGGTGTTAGACTGGCTGTTAGTCTTGAACTCTTGGTGGTGTGTGGTGTTGTTTTCGTTCTTTTGGCAACTGGCAAACTGGTTGGCAATTGGCATCCCCCAACGCTCACGGAGTCAGTTTACAGTCTCACAGTCACAGCCACGGACCACCACAGTGAGTCCCACAAACGAACGTCTCTTCGTTCCGTCTTGCCTGTTCACGTCGTGATATGTGCGCCGGTTTTCTTTTTAAACAGAAAGAGAGAAGTAAAAGAAATGGACCCCGTCTTTTTTAAATTTCCAATTTTGTTGTTCGTCGTGGTTCTGAGTGATGACTGCTGTTGCTGGATGCTTTTGGTGCTGGCAATGGCACGAGTTCAACTTTTTACGAACACCTGGATGGCATAGCTGTAAAGATCACCACCCATCAGCATTCTTTACGATCAGGACCATCTCACCCAGTTCCCTGCCTTTCTCTCCCTCTACTATCAGTTCCGTGTCTTCTCTCTCTCTTCCCCTTTTCGAATTCCACTCCTTTAGTCCTCGTTCCCTGCTTCAGTCCATGTGAATAAGGCTTCTTACCGTCTCTCTTATGGCTTCGACTGGGAAGGCTTGTGTATTCTATCGTGAAGGAAACGATTGGTACGTTTCTCCCCCCCCCTCTCTCTCCTTACCATATCTGTCTATCTTTTCTTGAAACTTTCAATATCAATTTTGCTCCCCAATGCCTTGCTTTTTTAGGGTAGTTGGAACGGTGAGTTCCATGGGAGATTCTGGTTAGGGATCTACTTTGCTTGCCTTCGTCTGAAGTTATGATTGAATTAGATGATTTAATTGGAACTACCAGCGGAAATTCATTAGCCAGACACTAGGTGTTCCAAGTTTACCTCTACAACAATTGTAACTGCATGGTTTTAATTTCAAAAATTATCTTTGTTTCCTGTCCACCCCCCCCCCCCCCCCAAAAAAAAAAAAAAGGAAAAAGAAAAAGAAAAAAGAGTAGGCAGGAGCTTAACTTTACCAAGTATTATGAATCTTCTTTGAAGTTTTGATTGAAGGATATCGTTCATATGAAAAACATTTGTTTTTTTCCTGCATGCCAGGTTTTGTAATGCTGGTCTGCCAAGTGATATTGCTGTTGAAGTAGATGGTGTTTGCTTCCATCTTCACAAGGTATGGTTTTATTTTTCCTAACATTGTATACTTAAGGTTTATACTCTGCTGATTTGTTTCAATTTTTGAAAAAAGAATGTTAGAGTGAGGTAAATGCTTGACTTAACTTTCTAAAATATCTCATGAGCAGTTGCTATGCTTTTATTTTTATTTTTATTTTTAATTTTAATAATCTAAAATTTTTACTTGTTCAAGAATTTGGAAGACATGTGAAAAGGGCCTATTATGATTCAAATTGTGTTTAGGTGAAATTTAGGTTTTATACTTTTTTAATATTGGTTGTGTATTATAACTAGTGGTTAAGGGATAAGAGAATAATATAAATTATGTCATGAAATCAAGACCCTGATGATGCAGATATTTATGAAGCTGAGGTGAGCATTGAACAAGATCTCCTGGCATCTGATCCCCATTATGTTTTCAGAGAGGGAAGAAGATTAATAACAGAGAAGAGTGTGTAATTCCCCTACAGAGATAAATAAATAGATAGACAGGACCAAGAGTCTCATATGGAGTTACATCTTAACCTATATGCTAGTATGTCAATTGGGACCTCTATGGGTCTGGCCACCCAATTCCACTTCAAGACACAGATAACCTTGACTTTTAACCATTAAAATACATTGATGCTCTTGTAGCATAGGTATTTGCCTTAGTATGGACCAGTGAATGGAGAAAAATCATCCTGGTAGAGTGGTAGGGGGTCAGGGGGCCCTGCAGATTCCCAGCACAAGGCTTGTTGGTGGGTGACAAGGCAAGTCTATATGCAACTGTATAAATCTGCCAATGTCCTTGAATCTGCCAAGTAGGCTGGTAGGCAGTAAGACAGCATTTCAACTCCTTGCTCATTCAATCTTGACACCTGATCTACGTTAACTAGATTGCAGCAGAGTCATAGTCATATGGTTCTAGTGCTTGGTGGTGAAGTATATCAAATAATGGTGGATTTGAATAGACATTTGTTTCTGTCCAGATGTAGGGAACCAGGTGGAGCTTTTGGAAGGTGCTTGGTGTGGAAGCAGCCCCATACAAGTAAAATTTTCTTCTTTATACCATTACATAATTTAGGATGGAATTACAATTCAAGAGTGTTATGAGTTCGTTTGAACTGGAGTCCCCATTGTTGATGCTAGGTTAACAATTGGGGAAGGACGAAGGAATGCCTAAATTGACATTTTGGTTCAGTTTCATTGAACTTAGAATCATATTGCTGATGAAAATAGGAGGGCGTGGATGGATAACACAGAAAGCATTGATGTGCCATAGGTGTGGGGTCTGTTGAAATCAGACCTGTTGTGGGCTGTATAAGGATCCAAGGATAAAGAAGCATGGCTTTATATGCTGTAAAGGAACCATAAACAGCATAAAAAAAAGCTGGACCAAGAGCTATATATGCAAAAATTGAATTCCAGCATTTTGAACATCATAAAAGAGAAGAGAGGATCAAATGTTGCTTTAACAGGGAAACCAGTAGAGAAAATAGGCCTTGATACTTCCAAGGCAGGACTCAATTCAACTCCAATATAGATTTGAATCCACAGCTGGGCCTACCCTTACAACTTATTCTTAAAATAGAAAAAAACACTTAAAATATCTAATTTCTTTGTATTTAAGACAATCCTGTTACTCTCTGACATCCCATCAATAGAATTACCATATTTTTCCCAAAAATATACATGATTCACAAGATCTTGGTCTCATTTGATCTCAAGTCAACTAAGCCTTATTCCTAGCTATTTGGGGTGAGCTATGATATCAAAATAAAGTAAAATATGCAATTTTTGAGTTTTTTGGTTCCTTAAATTCAGGATGCAAAAATAGTGATGAACATGAAACTTCAATAGTTCAATTTCTCTAAATTCCTTGGAAACATGATTAAAAATCTCAAGTTTTACAAAATTGCTAGCACTAAAGGAATCTAGAGAAACTTTCTTCTTCCATGGTTTTTGTCCTTTTTATGTCAAAATCAAATCTATGTAACTCTTATTGGCGGAGGGTGTGCCTCTTTCCTTTCATCTAGTTGTTGCCTCCAGTGTTGCATGGACATGGACACGAGAATCAGAATCTGGCATGTGTCCAGGAGTCTGACTTGGCAAGACAAAAAAAAAAAAAAAAAAAAAAGACTCACAGACATGCCTATGACTCTATGGACAAGTATAAGCTATTAAACTACTTCATATTTTGTTTAATTTTGGCATTACAATCCTATAAAAAAGTTTTTAAAAGCTTAGCTTTGTTAACATTTTGTAGGAAAGGTGACACTTGATGTGTCCATTAATTGCTCATTTGCATCAAATAAGCAATGAGAGAAAGAAAAATGAGGTTGGCGGACAAGGATAGGACTCATTCCCATCGGTGAAATGAATCAATTATCTCAGATCTTTTTTGTGGTCCAACTCGCTTTCTTGCTGCATGTGTCACGGAGGAAGACACAATCCCTTTCCCTTTCAGTTGTCCAGTCTTTCTTCTTCTTTGTCCTGATGAGAAGAGAGATCTTGCATTGATCAACTGCACATTTTGTGATTGATATGCATAATAAAAAGGTTAAGGCTGCATTTGGCATTCTTTATTTTAAGGACTTATCTCCTTTTTGCTGTTAAAAATTCAATGTTCATAGGGGCATTTTAACTGCAAAAAGGAGATAAGTCCATAAAATCAGGAATGCCAAATGCAGCCTAAGTAGAATTGATGGTTCCAATACAATCCCAACCGATCATGCAAAGACTATATTTCACGCATTAATGGATCAAAGAATTGCATAGATAGATCAAGTGATTTGTTTGTGGTGAAAGGAAGAAAGATCAGAAGGATTGGAACCTTCTATCGGGTGAGTACTCAGGTTCAATTCCTGGGTAATCTCAATGGAGAAGTGTCCCCTAAGAATCCATGAAGTGCCAGTGTTGCCCGATACATGTCTGGCACAAACACTTCATTTAGGAGAGTCCTTGCAACGCTTCTTGTAAGGTGTAATTCTTCATTTAGGCAGTGATGTGAAGATGTATCTCTTAACAGAGGTGGTTCCAGATATGATACTATGGGCTTCTTTTAAGGGTGTGACAGCATCTTGTATTCTTGTTAAGTATTTTGGACATCATGGGTGTTTGTTAGTTATATGTTATCTCTTGCTTTGGCATGGCTTCTGAGGGGCTATAGTAGAAGCGATCAAAATTTGTGGAACCTTGTCCCCTTTGCAATTTGTTGGTTCATATTGGAAAGTTTGAAATATATGGACTTCAGGGGGCGTTGTTTCTTTGGATTTTGAGAGGGGAGAAAGTTGGTCAGTGGGATTTTGGTTCCCATTGACCAAGAATCCCATGTTCTTTTTTCAGATTTATGTGGGGACCAGGGAAAGTTTATTTTCCCGGGTACCACTTACCCGGGTAAGTGATACCCATCTCCTAGGTGGGTAAATAATTTCCCCACCTGGGGGGGAAGTTGCCAACACTTGAATGGACAAAAATGCCCCTTTTAATAATGGATTTTTTTTGGCTAAAATGGTCATTGCCTTATTTACTTGAGAAGTAAAAGAACATGGGTAAATGCACTTACCCGGGTAAGTGTTTCCCAAGAAAAACTTACCCAGGTAATTGCATTTACCCGGGTAAGTAACTTACTGAAAAGTGAACGGGGCCTTAAAGGGAAAACTGCCTGGGAATGTTGAGAGGCTTCTCCTCATTTGGTAGTCTAATCTGACAAATTTTGAAGGCTAAGGTTTTCTCACTTCGGTAATGATTGGAAATGATTTTTTTTGATAAGTAATATGATTGGAAATGAATTAAATTTTTATCCTTATTCGATGTATTAAATGACATGGGTTATAGAGGAAGACCATGCAATCTTTTATAATCCTCCCCCCACTCTCACCCCCCCAAAAAAACCCTACTTATAAAAAAAAAARAAAAGAAAAGTTATGCAGCATTTGGATCAAACAGGACTGAGCTTCAAAAATTAGATACAAAATCATGATACAAGTGTATATGAGAGATACCTGTATCTGTAACTCTATCATGGATTTGAGGAAATGAAGAATTATGTCCCCATTTCTTGTATTGTCTATGTCAGCATCCTTGTCTGGTTATCATAGATGCTGTAGAAACTGATCTGACAAGTTAGTCAGCTAGATAATAGTGGAAACAGAGTTAACCAGCTAGACAATGCTGAAGAGAGATGGACCATTTGGTCAGTCTCAACAATGTGTCAATATTCATATTCAAGCAATTTGGTTCTGAATTATCAACTATATATGCGTGAGAATCAATGGAAATTGCTTTCATACCCAGAAAAATTCTCCATCATACTTGAAAATTATGTAATCTGAACAAATTATAAAGAGTTCTCGACTAGAACCTAACCTTTTCTTATACTCATTTGGGGGGTGAGGGAGTTAGTAGAATAGCACATATTTATACAATAACCACTAGGAACATGCTCCAATCAGTGTTTCTTTTAGTTCTGTGGCTGTGTTGTATTTCATTTTCCTGTGAAATGGCTTCATATATTTTCCAGGCCTTTGTTATTTGCTTTGTAATTAAGCTATTGCTCTCTTAGAGGACACCTTGTAGATCCACTATTGCTCATGGTTATGGGTTTTCTTATTCTTTTCTTTCCCTGTCTTGGTATAGCTGACATTATCCTAATTAAGTGCTTTCAAGAGAAATTCTGAGCAAGATAAATATTAGTGTGCTCCTCTTCGTAGTTTAGTTTATTTTTTTAATAGGAAAGAAGACCTTTTTCATGACCTAAAAATACATTGCATGTGCCTGTTCAGTTTCCTCTTGTATCGAAATGTGGGAAGATAGAAAATTTATTGGAAGATTCTCAGAGTAAGCATGGAGAGACTTTCTACACCACATTAAGTGAATTTCCTGGTGGACCTGATATGTTTTTGGCTGCAGCCAAATTCTGCTATGGGGCCAGAGTGGAATTGGCACCAAGGAACGTAGTGATGTTGTATTGTGCAGCAGATTATCTTGAAATGACAGAGGAATATGGAGAAGAAAACTTATTAGCGAAGTGTGAGAATTTCTTTCACAAGAATGTGCTTTGTAACTGGAAAGATTGTATTTTGGCTCTTCAAAGTTCTGATCCTGCCATTTTGAGAGCTGAAAAGCTACAGATTTTGAGCAAATCTCTGAATTCTCTATCTATGATGGCTTGTACAGATCCTAGTCTATTTGGATGGCCCATGATGATGTATGGTACCTTACAGAGCCCTGGTGGAAGCATCCTATGGAATGGTATAAACACTGGGGCAAGAATCAGAAGCTTGGAGTCTGACTGGTGGTTTGAAGATGTTTCATACTTCAGTGTGTCTTTGTTTGAGAGGCTCATTCAAACAATGAAAGCAAGAGGTATGAGACCTGAAAATGTAGCAGGTGCAATCATGTACTATACAAGAAAGTATCTACCAGGTCTCAGCCGATGGCAGAGTGGACAAAGTGGGAAAAGTAGATCTGTTACAAGTTTTAGCATGACACCTGCCACTATTGATCAGAGGGTTCTGCTGGAAAGCATTGAAAAGCTGCTCCCTGAGAAGAAAGGGAAATCTTTTTGCCGTTTTTTGTTGGGGCTTCTACGTGTTGCAATGATACTGGATGTTAGTCAACTGTGCAAGGACTCCTTGGAGAGAAGGGTTGGAATGCAACTGGATCTAGCAACTCTTGATGGTCTTTTAATTCCTACTTATTCAGATTCTGATACTTTATACAATACTGATTGCGTAGAACGGATTATCCAGCATTTTTTATCTTTAGAATCAAGTGTGACATGGTTTTCTCCTTCATCATTTGACCTAGAAACATCATCACCATCTGGTTCCCTACAGAAAGTTTCAAAGTTGATTGACAGCTACATTGCAGAGGTTGCTGCTGATGTAAACCTGAAACCTGATAAGATACGATCTCTTGTGGAMTCTCTTCCAGAATCTTCAAGGTCCTTTCATGATGGACTATACCGAGCGCTGGATATCTATTTTAAGGTTTAGATCTATTCATCACTCTTAACAGAAGCAAATTCATCAAACGTTTTTCTAGTTAGTGAAGGTTCTTATTCTGTTCACTGTTTCTAGAAAATGGAAAGGTTTGATGGTGAGRCATATACTTCAAGGTGACTAGGTGAGGCAGGACCAAACTGCTTTGCCTCAATAGTATCACATATCTTTTATGAGGCATGCACCTCAAATGGTAAGAGGTGTATTGCTTCATGCCTTCTGCCTCAACCATTTTAATGTTGATTCTGTTACTGATCTTCTCAATTCTGAATCACTTATTCTAGTGGAACAAGTTTTGTTCTGATTGACATAATCTTATTAACTTCATGTATGAAGTTCATTGTTTTTTTTTTTTGGAGCTCTATATGGTTCAGGCTATTAAACAGAATGAGCGGAATTTCAGAGATTTTACCTCTAGAAAGTAGAAACTACCTTTTAAGTGATAAAAGGAAATTAAGAGTAATATCTTTGTTATCATCTACACTTTTATTCTAGCAAATAGCACTAAATTGCTGTAATAAATGGAATCATTAAAGCCAAGGAATTTAACTTCTACCATGAACCTTTCCCAAAGTAATTTGAAGTTCTTCTAGAAACAAGTATATCTGACTTCATCTTCATAACAGAACATCATCTGCAGTTGCATTTGTTCATAATATCATCATAAACAGCTGCATTTGATTATTTCTCCTTGTCAGTATCTAAATCTTCATTAATCCAATTGAAACTGGTATCATTTTTGTTTTATTTATTTTAATTAGTTTTGTCTGATTAGTTAGTTGCCATGGTCTTTACAAGGAAACACGAGGAGAACCCAAGCTGTGTTGCCACGTTATTGCCACAAATGAATTTGGACTACAGTAAGTTTGCAAATCAGATCACAGGGTGGGAAGAAATGATTCCTCCTGCTTCTGCAAAATTTGGTCTACACTCAGGGAGGTTGCTATCCATCACTTGGTGGCTCTTATCAAGGAATTATGTTGTTCAAAGAATTCACCAAAGAGATGATCATAATCATCTGATCTCTAACATTATTTTGAACTTTATGAGACAACATGGCCACTGGTCTACTAAAGGAATCACAAATTTTTGGACAACTGGATTTATCTAGTTAGGCCATTTTTCTACCTGGAAGGTTTCCTTGGATGGTCCATCCAATTGATGGGTCTAAAAAACTCCTTTGCTGTCTTCTACATGCATGGAGACAGGGAGTGCAACTTCTTCCTATCCTTGCATGTATATTAGCTAGCATATGTATATGGAGTTTGACCACATGGAGGCAGGGGGTACAATTTCTTCCCATTCTGGCATATACTTTGGCAAGCTTACGTGTGGAATCTGGCCGGATTCAGAGTAGTTTCTTTGTTGGAACTACAAAGTCATGGACACTGCAGTCATTGTCTTATAGCTGTTTTGCAGGCACACCCTTGGCTTTCAGATAATCAGAAGGAGCAACTCTGCAGCTTGATAAACTACCGGAAGCTCTCAATTGATGCCTGTGCACATGCATCTCAAAATGAGCGCTTGCCACTCAGAATCATTCTTCAAGTCCTCTTCTTCGAGCAGCTACAGTTGCGAACAGCTCTTTCTGGCTGTCTTCATGTCTTGGATAATGAGAGTGCTCCTGCAGGACCTACTACTGCCACTGATGAGATGGCAGGCCACATTGTGCAAAAAAATGGATGGGTTACAGTTGTCCGTGAAAACCGAGTCCTTAAAGTAGATATGGAGAGAACGAGGGCTAGAGTTGCTGAACTTGAGCAAGAATTTGGAAAAATAAAACAAGAGATGCATAGGGTGGCTAAATTGCGTAGCTTCTTCAGTTCCACACGTTTGATGGCAAAGAGAATTGGGTGCAAGCTTCTGCCACGATCCTCTGATGTACAAGCAGAAATTATTGAAAGTGTGGTTCCTAGTCCAAGGGCATCCACTGAACAGGCACAGCCTTCACACCATTTAAGACAACGCAAAAGTTTCTCTTTGTTCTCATCATAGAAACGAAGAAAGGTTAAGTTATGTCAATTCTGTAGAAAAATTTTGTAGTGGCTAAAGGTGGGTGGATGTGAAGGTAGTCTTCCACCGCAGATAAGATAAGCCAGAACTGGCAGAGTTGGACACTGTTGTTTATTGGTCCTTGGGTGATGCTCTATGCTAAAAAGTTGGTTAAGCGAAGCCAGTAAAAGTTCCTGCATTCTTTTGGTGATAAGGGGAGAAAATACGGAAGTAGCTCAGAGAAAAGATATGAATCAGGTGATATGTTCATCAGATTACCCCAAAACCAGTACATAAATACTTAAATTGCATGCATGTGTTACATGCATAAAAGTTAGCTTCTTCCCATTTTGATGGAAAAAAGCTTCAGAATATGCTATTTTATCATACGAGAGAAGATGCTCATTACTGCACAGCATGACACTTAGTTTAAGGTTTTGCTGTCCACTGGTGAGTGTCCAACTATCCAAGATCAGATCAACGAATTACAGAGGGCTTGCGATATGATGGAGCTAAGCTGTTTAAAAATAACAGAAAAGCATGTAATTTCCTGCGGTGTATATATGCATGATTTATTTGTAATACATTGTTGTACAGCTCTGTGAAACAAGATAAAGTTTCAGAAATATGGGGGGGCCATGAAAGATGTTAGGCTCCCTTGCTTTGAACCAATCGGGCTACCATTCTTGAAACGCATTTCTTTTCTTTATTTGTTTTTTATGTACTTTTCTTTGGTTAAGGTGGGAACCCACAGACCCAAGGTTGTGAGTAGAAACACCATCCATTGGAGCTGTCTATTCGTAATAGATCTGGTATTTATTCCATCTCTTAAGCTCTGAAAGTTGTCCTAATTCATTGCATTTATCCTAACTACTAATATGACGTATAACCGTTCCTCTTATCGGTTAGCTTCCCCATAGATTCTTCCTCCATGGGAAGAACTTGATAGTGGACAAAGAAATAAGAAATTCCATTTCATGAAGGTTCATGGAACCCACCCAGCCTACACTTCCATTTGTCCTACCAACTCCACTTCCACTCAGTAACTTGCATCCACAAAAAGAACAAATTCTCATCAGAAATATGATTCTAACCCTGATATACAAATGCTAATGATCTACCACTTTGAGGAACATTATAGACATGGCTATCCTTGGATTCTTCTAGAAAAACGGACAGCCTGGACTTTTCCCTTATATTCTACTAGAAGATGTATAACATTGATTTAAAAAATACATATGATAGAATTCTTAGAGAGATAATATGATGGGTTTTGAAAAAGAAAGGTTCAAAATATGTATATTGGCCTAATTATGGGTATTTATGAGGGAGCAACAATTAATGTTGCATTGATCCTAGATGAATTAACAAAACATATTAAGGAGGAAGTTCCATGGTGAGATTAAATGTACTTATCAAAAAAAAAAATGAAGAGATTAAAATAAGTGTGGCTAAAATATAGTATATGACATGTAAATTTAGTAATAACAGTGTAAATCAAGATACACTTGGGAGTGGAGACCAAGAGGTAACTTAGTGCAATCACTTCTAGTACTTTGGTTCAATAACTCATAAGAGGGGAGGGATTGAGAAAGACATCATCCAAAGAATCATAGGAGGATAAAACAGTTGTGATGCCAGCTATGTTGTATTGAGCATAGTGTTGGGTAGCCAAGAAACATGTCCAAAAACTAAGGCTGCATTTGGAAGCGATGTAAGTCAAGAACTGATGTAAAATTTACAACAGTTCGGTTTCATAGGCGTTTGGAAGGAGCGTGTAATTATGATCGATGTAAAACTCCACTCAGGTTCAGTTTTGTGTGCGTAAAATTTAAAACCTCATCAAGCATAAAGTTTTACATCGATAATCAATGTAAATACTACATCAATTTTATCGATGTAAAACTTCACACTCTTCCATCCAATGCATTTTTCAAAAATCAACGGTCACTCATGGTTTAGTGTAAAACATTATTAGTATATTTTTTACACTGATTCCAAATGCAGCCTAAGGCTTAGTTTGGAAGGAATACAAATGCAAATATGTATAGTGCAAATACATACAAAATACAAGGTTTTGCATTGTACATATTTGCATTTGTACTCCTTCCAAACTAAGCCTAAATATCGTAAAAATGTAAATCCTAAGATGGATGAATGATAAAACTATAATGGATAGGACTAGGAATGAATTTATCTGCAAGAACCTAGGAGTAGCTCTAATAGGTGATAAAATGAGGGAGAATAGATTAAGGTGGTTTGGGCATATRCATAAAAGACCACCAACTATACCAATTAGAAGAAATGATTTGTTACACATAAGACATTGAAGGGGCTAGAAGAGCTTGGGGTAGAGTAAAAAGGACATGGGTAGAAGTATTAAGAAACAATTTAAGCACTACTAATTTAATAGTGGATATAGTTTTAAATAGGATGGGTTGGCAAAACGGGTTTCATGTAGCTGATCCCCATATAGTTGGGATAAGGCATGGACGATGATGATGATGACTCATTCCATTAGGCTCAATTTGGGAAGAGTGTAAATACAAATATGTTCAGTGCAAAACCTTGTAATCTATATTTATATTTCTAAGCATTATATTTACACTATTCAAATGCTGGTTGAGTGCATGTATGCACTTTGGTTCAAATTTTGCATGTTTGATAAGAATGCATTTGTGTATTTGCAAAACAGCTGATTGGTAAGGTTCCTGTTGGTCGTAGCGAAGACTTGGGATCGAATCCCATCTGCACCTAGTTTGAGGGGTTAGTTAGATTCATTGACCTTAGAGAGATTGTAGTTTTTTAAACCGAGAAAGACAAAATTCCATTAAAAAATAGGAGAATGACTGATCGGCCCGGCTCAGAATTCTTTAGCCCCACCGTACAGGGGGGCATGATGAATCCTGACCATGGGTTGATGCCAAATCCATGGGCAGGATGCGGTTTATAGGGGGATACTAGTAGACTATGGGGGTCTGTAATTCAGAATTCTGCATTAATTGGGCTGCAATGTACTTATCCCTAAAAAATACTATGAAACTATAGACAGCAAGAAAGTCAATGCAAAGTTGCTGGTAAGTGGGGAAAATAAAATCAAACCAGCGAGCACTAGAAGAGTACACTTGTGATCCCTCTAGACATGGCATCAAAAACTGTAGAACACCGAAAAAAAAGGAGGGGCATCTCCCTCCAATAGAGATAAATTGCAATGAGAAAGTCTCCCTCAACCATAGAAACCATATTGTACTAAAAATAGTAACTATTCTTCTACTTAGAACTAGTAACAATTGTTACTATTGATTACAACAATCTTTTTTGGTAAGTGATTACAACAATCTATAATGACACATTTTATCCTCATACATTAATAAGAAACAAAGTCCCAAAATTGTTCTTCTATAAACACATTCATACAAGTCGACTGGACCAAGCTTTAAGGGGGTGCTTTTTTTATGGATTTTGAGAGGGGGGAAAGTTGGTCAATGGGATTTGGATTTTCATTGATAAAAAAACCTATGTTCTTTTTTCAGATTTATGTGAGGACCAGGGAAAGTTTATTTTCTTAGGTATCCCATCTCCTAGGTGGGTAAATAACTTTCCCACCTTGGGGGAAAGATGCCAATACTTGAATGAGACAAAAATGTCCCTTGTAATAATGGATTTTTATGGCTAAAATGACCATTGTCTTAGTTGCATAGAAAATAAAAGAACATGGGTAAATGTATTTACCCGGATAAGTGTTTCCCAGGAAAGATTTAYTCGGGTAAGTGCATTTACCCAGGTAAGTAACTTACCAAAAAGTGAACAGGGCCTAAATCCCAACCTTTTTGGGTCGACTAAACAAATGGTATCAAGCCATGTATATTTGAATTTTTTCAAAAGCCATCATTTTTTCTGTCAAAATTTTCTACCATATACAGTAAGAGTTTATTCCAAACTCATATGTTTATCTAATAATGTTGATCTTTGTGTATGAAGTAGAGTGTTGGACAATTAGAAAATATATAAAAAAAAGATAAGAGACTTAAACATACCTTCAGTTTTCATTAATTTATTTGAATATACCCTGAGTTTTTCAAAAGGACTTAAAGTACCTTGTGATTCTTTTACCCTTTATTTTTCTTTCAATTTATCAAAAAAAAACACAGATATTATAAATCCGAATATGAAGAGATTGATTGATGAATCTCATGCAATTCAAGTCAAATCAAAAAGCTCATCTTGAGATTGTTTGATGAGTCCCACCCAGTTCAAGTCAAATTCCGACACCAATTTAAAACCCTAAACAGGTTCCAACGTTGTTGATTGATGGGTCCAATATCAATTACAATGTGCTCTCTAACATAAAAAAAAGCTCATACTTCTCAGTGTTTTAAACTTGATCTCTTTTACAATTATAAATCACAATATCTATGGCTGTTAAAACATCTAATTCCAAATTTCAAAATTTGTTGAATAATGATTTTGGGTGTCTAGGATTTTGTAGTTCAAGTCGATTTTGCTTGGTCTAATAAAAAGGCAGGCTTTTCCAGCAAACATGGGGTAATGAGTAGATGAACAAACAAGAAAGTCTCATATGTTAAAAGGGCAAAATAGGATTTTAAATGAATCGACATATAATGTTTCGTTGATATAGGGTATATTTAAATTCAGAATTGTCAATGTACAAAGAATCTTTAAGGCCCGTTCACTTTTCGATAAGTTACTTATTCGGGAAAATGTAGTTACCTGGGTAAGTTTTTTCTGGGAAATACTTACCTGGGTAAGTGCATTTATCCATGTTCTTTTATTTCTCATGTAAACAAGGCAATAACCATTTTATCCATAAAAATCCATTATTGAAAATGATATTTTTGTCCCGTTCAAGTGTTAGCAACTTTCCCCTAGGTGGGAAAATTATTTACCCACCTAGGAGATGTGTATCACTTACCCGGATAAGTGATACCCAAGAAAATAAACTTTTCCTAATCCCCACATAAATCTAGAAAAAGAACATGTGATTCTTGGTTCCTATTGACCAACTTTCCCCCTCTCAAAATCCGAAAAAAGACCCCCCTAAGTCCTTTGAAAAAAGCCAACATTTTAAGTCTTTTATCCCAAAAAAAATAAATGTGGCATAATTGTGAATACTCCAATGGACAAATGGTAAAATTGTAAAACTAGAAATGATAGGGTTAATAATAATACACGACAAAATGAAGTAAAGTAGATTGACAAATCTACCTTCTAAGTAGATATGATAATTGATAAACATACATATGATACAATAAGGTATAATAATAATACAAGGGGCTGTTTGACAAATCTTTCTAAGCAGATTTTTCAATAGTGAGCTTTGGGGTTTTGTGTTTAAAGACCAAGACCCTTAGTATTATTTTATTTTTTTTCTTGGGTACGGAAGACTTATGATACCAAACATGAAAAAGACTATTTTTTAGTATTTTGAGCTTCCTGCAGACCCAAAGAAGACAGTGTAGAAAAAAATGCCACACCACCCAAGTTAAAGCAGAATCTCTACACGGCCCGCGTAGCAATAAATATGATAGAAACAAGTATTAAGTTATTAGCCACAAATTAGAAACGTGGAATGATGGAATCTTACAACTACCATCCGATCTGGTACAAACAGCCTTCCACGTGTCTACTGTGTAACTGGCTTTCAAGTTTCATCTCGTTCTGCGCCCTACATTTTTTAGTTGTGACGGACGATCGTCCAGGAAATTAAAAGAATTAGGCTTTTAAAGAAGGTGGAAGGAGCAAATGTCTTCCAGAGAAGACCAATCAAATCCCAGGAAGTAAAAAGATGTTTGGTGGCGATAACCTCCTTAACGGGTCCCAGCCCTGTCAAGGTAGAAGATTTTCCTTTTTAATTAACGGAGCCGTGACAAACCGTGACGGTACCGTCGGCAACTACTCACGGTTCACACGTACCGTTAATCTTTTATTTCGGCTTTGTGCCACGATCGATCCCTCCACACTAACGTCGTCTTCCTCCCGTTCCGTCTCCCCGATTCGAAAACCCTAACCCTAATTCTCCTCCGCCGTCCCCGTCCGTCTTCTCTCTATGGCCTCCTGCGAAGACGACTTCTCCATTCTCGGGGACGAAAATCAAGCACCCCCCCACCCTTCTCACCACCCCCAGTCCTTCGCTTCTCATCGCTTCGCGGGCAAGTCCACGCCAATCCACTCTCACGCACAGGCTCCGCCACCGCAAACTCATCCCCTCAACACCCTCGGCGCCGCCGGCGGTGCCGGAGGTGGAAGCCCTAAGAAGGTTGGTGGCGCAGCAGCTGGAGACGACGAAGATGAAGCCGACGACTATAGCGACGCCGCTTTTTGCTCTCAGACTGACTCCAAGTGTGCTCCGTCCTTCCACGACGTGAATCCTAATTGCTTCCCGGCCGAAGATGATACCAACCCCTTTGCTGCCGAAGAAGAGCCCGACCCTAATAAAGCTAGAGCTAATACCGTTCGGAATGAAAAACGTAAGGACCGTGATGAGCTCAGCGATAGTGGAACGCCTTACGGTTTCAAGAAATCGAAGCCGGGTGGAGGTGCCGGTTCCGGCGCCGGAACGTCTTGTGGGGGGGACTACCGGAAGGACCGGGAGGAGTGGAGCGATTCGGCGATTGGTTGCCTTCTCGACGCGTACACGGAGAAGTTTGTTCAGCTTAATCGGGGGAATCTTCGAGGTAGGGATTGGGAGGAAGTGTCGTCGATTGTTAGTGACCGGTGTGATAAGACGAAGTCGTTTAAGAGTGTGGAACAGTGCAAGAATAAGGTGGATAATTTGAAGAAGAGGTACAAGGTGGAGAGGCATCGGATGAGTAGTAGTGGTACGTCGGTTAGCCACTGGCCTTGGTTTAAGAAGATGGAGCAAATTGTGGGTAATTCATCAAAGGCTGTATCAGATGAAGATAGGCCTGTTGGTGCCCCTGCTAATATGCTCAGGCAGTCCAAGAGGTAATATTTCTTCGCTGTTTGAAGTTATCCTACCTAGTAGTTTTGTTTTTTCTTTCTTCGAATTATGCTGATATTTATCTAAAAGTTTAAAAGTTAGCTATTGCTGATAATTGCTTGTTGGAAGGTGAATGCTTCGTTGGTAACGTATATGTCTTTTCTTTCTCTTGTTGGTCATCATAAAGATTAGTGTTTGTCCTTTCTCTGATGTTAAGTATAGATTAGGCAATTTGTTGTACATTATATTTATCTCCTTATATTATGTGTTATTTTGCAAATCGAAATATTTGAATTGCTTCCAGAGACGCACATTATCAACCTGAGATTATCTTAGTGAGGTTAGCAAAAAGGCGATGCTTATTGCAACCCAACACATTGAAGTCTTTTGCATTTTTTTGATTGATAACCATGAAATTGATTAATTAAAGAAAATTGTGTATCAGTACAAACAAGCTAATAGAGATCCAACCTCTTATCTCCATCCTTTCATTTCCTACAATCGTGCCTGAAACATTTAATCTCTTCCCGCTCCTTGGTTTGCCAAATAGTCCACTACATTATTAGCTTTTCTTTTTTACCCATTGAAGTCATACTTCCATGTCTTTGGTCAACCACCTGAATTTCTTTATTTCATCTCTGTACTCCTATAACTTATGCCAGCCTCCCCATTTTGTAACCATGCCATCACCATTTAGAATGCCCTTCAATTATTAGCCTTTTATATTCATAAACCTTGCCCTTTGCCCTTCTTCCATCAAAGTCATGATTTCGGCCTGTAATTAGTCACCTACACCAATTGGGCCCAAGAAAACTGAATTCCCCAGGTTGCCTACTCCCTACCCTTTGAAGCCTTTTGCATTTAGGTAAGATTATGAAGAACAGAAGAAAGCCTCTTGTCATGCATTTTCTCTAAATTTGATTTGTGTTGGGATCTTATAATTAAAAAAAGCTACTATCAGTAATCTATTATCTTAACCTTTTCCATGGTTGTTTTCTATGCCATGAGGCTAGTTTCCAGTTTGAGTGGTTGAAGACTTATTTCCCTAGAATTGGAGGGAAGCCATAGGTTAAACCTTCCCATTGCTATGAAGGTGGCACTGCTGCTGCTGCTGCAGAGTGCAGATGATGAACCTAAGACCATAGTGAAAACGTAGGTACTGGTTTTCTCTGTTGCACTTTGGTAAACTTCTTTACTGTGCAAAAGGTAAAGGGTTTTTGATATAGCAGCACCTTCATGTGGTGTAAGTTTGTCGAAACCCCCCAAAAAGAAAAGGTTCACAGATAATTTGTTTGCAGAAAAAGGGTGGGGTTGGGAGGGGAAGAATCCAAAAAAGAAAAGTTTCATCTACCATAGAACTTGTTCATCAAAAACCTGAAAGAGGGTCCAATGCAATAGAAATATCAAGTATCCCAGCTTGCTGTCTTGCTGATGTAGGACAGCCTTATGAACGAGTGGATCTAGGCCAAGTTAAGAAAATTGAGGAATCTGCTAAATCAGGGGGATTTGGAATGAGAAACAGTGGGATGGAATAGTCAGGAAGGCTAGAAGGCTAGAATTGGGTTTACAAATCTGAAATCAAATTGATCCTAGAGAGTGCAGTCTGCAAAATTTCAAGGGAAATTGGGTCAAAATTGGGGAAAATGGAATTGCATAATGAACTATGCGTAAGGGGATGAGTATGCAAGCAGGTGGGGAATTGATGACCACACTTTCCCCCTCTTATCTTTTTCCCCTCTTTGGCTCTGAAGAAGAAAAAGCCTCTTAAAAAAATATCATAGGGAAAATACAATCTTTCACCGCCGATGGTGGAGGTGGATCAGCTTGGCTACTACTTAATAAAAAGCTTTTTCTCCTTTTATTTTGTTTTGGTCCTATCTTATATAAGGAGAAGCTAGAAACAGAACAAGTTTGACAAAAAAGAAGAGAAAAGGAACATGGAATTCGACGATCACGAAGAGCAAGATGAAGAGATGGGGATACCAGTGTCTGCGACTTACGATTCGCTTGGTAACTCGTCCAAAGCCAAAATGGTGAGTGCTGCTAGCGATGCGGCTTCCTCTGGAAGGAGGACTGTGAGCAAGTACAGGGAGTGCCTAAAGAACCATGCCGTGGGAATTGGAGGCCACGTTGTTGATGAATGTGGAGAGTTCATGGCCGTCGGAGAGGAAGGCACGCTTGACGCCCTAAAATGCGCCGCCTACAACTGCCATCGGAACTTCCACCGCAAGGAGACGGAGGGGGATGCCTACCACCACCAATTCTCTCCCTACTGTCGTACTCTGGTGGGGTACCTCCACGTGGCGCCGCACCATCGCCCGTTGGCTCTGCCGTCGACCTCGGGAGGTGGGGTGCACAGTTGGGAGGACCAGGAGGACGTGTTGAACCCTAGCGGTGGTGGAGAAGTTTCGAAGAAGCGTTTTAGGACAAAGTTCACACTGGAGCAGAAAGACAAKATGTTGGCATTTGCGGAGAGGCTTGGGTGGAGGATTCAGAAGCACGACGAGGCCGCCATGCAACAGTTTTGTACGGAGACTTGTGTGAAGAGGCACGTGCTTAAGGTTTGGATGCACAACAACAAGCATACTCTTGGTAAGAAACCCAAAAGATGAGAAGAAGTGAGAATCCAATCTACTGCTATTCCTTACTTCCACTCTCTCTCAATTTGATCATCATCACCATCTACCGCTGCTACTTAGCTTCTTCTAGTTTCTCGTCACTCACCACTCCCAACTCCCAACTAGTACAAGGACAAGGGCAACCTCTTTCCACGCGGAACGAAACAACAACAGCAACAACAACTCCACCATGGCGAACAAGAACAACGGGGATCAAATGGGGGAATTTTGTTGAGAATTCTCTCCCTTTCTCCCTTGAGATGATGTTAGTTAGGTTTCTTCTTTTCTTTTTGTATCTTGTCTTTTTTTTTCTTTCATTTTCTTGTTTTCAGATAATCGCTTCTCTCCTATTGGTGTTTAGATTGGATCACTTCTTGTTTCTTAGTGCATTATTGTTGATGGGCCATTGCTCAAAAAAAAGGGGATGAGTATATTTTAGGGGTTTCCAGGTGGGAACATTTTTCACAAGAATGGTTTCTCTTGGAACTATTAGGCATAAAGTGTAGAAAAGTGAAGCAAGTTCACAGTTGGAATGGTAATTGGATTTAGAATCGGAATCAAAATCCATCGGAATTAGAATTGGAATAGTCTATTCCCTCTGCCTGTTTGGTTTAGACCAGTGTTCTAAAAGCGCAAGGGGCATTTTGGACCCGAGGCGCAAGGTGAGGTGTGTGTCTTTTTGAAGCAAGGTGTAAAAATGCAAAAAATGCTAAAAAAAATTCAAAGAAAGCCAAAAACTTCAAGAAAGTGTAAAAAATTAAAATGGTAAACACAATATTAATTAAGAATATAAACTTAAATTTTAAAATAAATGTTTTAAGAAACCTATTATCTCAAATTAAAATTCATAAACATAACATGTAAAACATATTTAAAAATTTTAAAAATAAAATCAAGCATAACATATAAAACATATTCAAGCATGTAAAACTATCAATCTCTTTGTTCTTTTTCCATTTACATTACTTCAAATAGCTAATGTGATGTCAAACATTATGCATTCCTAACTTGCTTGCTTTGCTCGCTCACCGGAGCTCTGAAAACCCCCTTGCTAATGTTGCTCATTCATTCATTCATCCTAATAAAGGATATTTTTAAAAGATAATTAAATTTATAAAACCTTTTTTTAGGGATTAAGAATCTATGACCTCGATATGGACTTGTTTGGGCTCGCCTTGAGGGGCTTGGTTAGGGGTTTGGGGGTGGAACCCTCAACCCAGCTGCTAGGCATAAAAAAAGAGAAAAATATGCAAATTTTCAAAAGGCACGTCTGGACTGAAGTGCAAGGCACACTGGGCGCATACCTTTTGAAAGTGCTGTGTCTAGGGCTTATGCAAGGCACATACCTTAAAATGCGCCTTGCCTGTGCACCTAGGTGTGTCTTTTAAATCACTGGTGCAGACGGAAATTGGAATAAACTGGAATGGAATTCTCATTCCCAGGGAGGGGGAGGAATGACCATTTCCTCAGATGGGGAATGCCATTCCACCGGGAATGGGAATCGGATTCTGGTTCCACCCAACCAAAGGGATGGGCCATACTGATTCGGATTCCAGACCCCCATTCCCATGAACCAGAAGGACCCTATAGGTATGCTGATAAAAAAAACCTATAGGTAGCTCTAACTTAGTTCTCTAGTCACAACTCTTCACTTTGATAGCAATCTTTGATCAGCCCAAATAACAATCACCTTAGAAAGAGCAATGACAAGAAGAAAACAGTGTTAAAATCATTTTATTTTTTATTTATAAAAAACTCTTTTTATTTTTCAAAAAACCATCATTCTGGGTTTGTCTAGGAATTATTCCTAGGGTTAAGTGAATCATTGAACCATGGGGGTTTTGGTAGCAGCTCAATGCATTCTTTTATCAGTATTGGCAAAGGTTCAAAATTTTGATATGATACACCCAAGGTGTATCATATTGTATATTTGATGGCCGATATATTAAATAAAGGGCGTATTTGGGTTTTGATGTTTTTAATGGCTAATAGATGATATGACTGGAACCCCAATTGGTCAGAAAAAAATGAAAAACATAAAACTTTGATCAATCAAAACTCTTGGTGCACAAAATTTTACGTTTTGAGAGTATCAATATTTTGAACCTTAGTATTAGCAACTCAAAGTTCATTCACTAGCAAATATTTATAAAAATCAAAGACATAATAAGTATTTATAGACTGCCATAGTGATAGTCAACCTAATTAATTAGAAAGGTCAAACTTCCATTGCAACAAACCCAAGTAAAAATCATGCTGGGCCCATCCAACAGAAACTAATTGATGTGGCTGTAATGGGCCTGAGCAAGCTATAATTAGGCCACAAAGCCCTCAGCTTGTCAGTTTGTAATTCAGCTTAAGTCCATCAAGCACAATAGGCTGGACGGAACTTGGGCAGGTGGCTTGTGGCTTGTGGTATCATTAAACAATTAATAAAACAAATAAGAACAAACTGCTAAGTTGGAACTCGGGTAAGTGGCTTGTGATATCAGTATCTCTTTTCAGCAATAATTTTTTTTTGATAATTCTTTTCAGCAATGAAACTTGTCTTTTAAAAAAAAATCAAATATTGGATGTCGAATCAGTTAACCACTTGATGTTACACTGTGATTTTGCACATGAGATTTGGTCAAGGATCTGGAAATTGTTCGAGGTGCAAACCTGCAGCTCAGAATCGGTGGTGGACTTCATATAAAGATGGAGAGTTGATGGTCTAACCAAGAGGGCCTGCACCTGTTTTTTGGTGTGTATGGCAGGAGAGAAATTCTAGGAACTGAATTGATGGCTTTACTTTTTGGTTTGAAGCTTGTTTGTTCATTAAACCCCACAGGTATCACGTTAAGATGAGATCACACATAACTGTGGTTTGTTCATCAAATAATAATCCTGGCCCATGGAAATATATAAATCTGTTAAGAGACGGAAGATGAATGGTAGGGGATTTTTTTAATTAGCAACACAGAAAAATTTATTAAATATTTAAGAAAGAGAGGAATTACAGCAAGAGGTTGTGAAATCTGAAAACCTTTAAAAGCAACAAAATTCCACCACCCTATTAACATTGTAGGGAAATTAAGAGATTGGGTTCAGTGGATGCAAGGGGGGTGGGCAGGGACAGTTTGTCTGATGCTTTTGCCAAACAAGGGGTGAATAGGAACTTGTATTGGGGAGTAACTAGTAGAGGCCAAGCTTAATAGTAGTCTGTATAGATAAAAGGGTTGTATATGTGTTCTGTTGGTAGCAGGAGCTGCCAGATGGAGGGGTGTGTCTGGAGTCTTATGTTATAGGCAACTACCACTTCAGCTAAAAGGAAAGTTCTATAAAAAGTTGCAAGGCGAGCTGTGTTGTTTGGGATAGAGTGTTGGGCAGTTAAGAAACAGCCTGTTCAAAAAATGAGTATGGCGAAATGTGAATACTTAGATGGATGAGTGGAAAAACTAGATAGTACAGGGTCAGAAATGAAGTCATGAAGGAACTTAGGAGTAGATCCAGTAGGTGATAAAATGAGAGAAGGTAGATTCAGATAATTTGGTCACATACATCCATAGAAGACCATCTATAGCACCTGTTAGAACTTTGGTGCAAGAAGTAAGAAATGGTTTAAGTGCCCATAATTTAACAATGGATATGGTACTGAACAGAATGGAATGGCAAAACAGGATTCTTGTAGCCAACACCATATGGTTTGGACAAGGGCATAGATGATGATGCTAGATCTTATGAAAGCTTGGCACTTTATTTTGCACAGTATGCACATTCTTTTCCATAAATCAATAAGTTGTCAGTTACCAATAAAAAAGGGAACTACGGGATTAGTTTGCAAGGGAGAAAGGTTAAAACTCGATAAAGAAGACTGATTTGAAATTAAGTGATCAGTGTTTTTGGGCTCAGATGTAAGAATGAGAAATCATAAGTGACAGGTGGCAGTTTAATTTTAGTGGGGTAGCTGAGGCTTGTCATAATATGTAATTCACATTTTATTATATTAATGAAATTCTCTTTACTGATAAAAAAAGACTGATTTGAAATTAATAACAAAATTCACAAGTAAGATTCATCAAATAGATAAAGTACCTGTTATAGAGTAAAGATTGAGCCTAACAGAGTCAGTACCATTATGTTTCTCTATGAGTCAGCACCTTGTGATGGAGTCTGTACATTCAATCCTGGAGTTAGAACCAAATGATAAAAATTGTAATAAGAATTCAACTTTCATGAGTTGTGAAAGAGTGTTTACAATGATATTTATAGTTGAAAATCAGATATCTTTGAGAGATGTACAGGGTAACTACTTCCTAATAAATGCAACTAAACAAGGAAATACTTGCTAAGAAAGGAAAAATTTCAAATGTAAATAATTTAAATGATTTTCTCAATCTTTCTTAAACTTTGATTAATTTGATTGAGAGAATCTCCTATGAACTGTACCTGAGCTAGTCAAATTTGATAGAATAGGCCAAGTGACTGGTCTGTTGTGGGTGTCTTGAGTGCAGGCCTGCAACTATTTTCTTTTGAGGCCAATGATCTTAGGCTTGGACTTTTTTATTAGCCCAGTTCTTCTTGTTATCAAGAATTACTTGAACATGATTAAAAGAGCACTAAATGGATTTTTTTATCGGGAACTGGTCACTTTTATTAGTTAGAGAAAAATATTGTTTTAGGAAAATCTGTGGTGCTGGAAAGACATGATACCGAAAAGGCTTTGACCAATCAAACCCCACTGTGAATATTGATGAAAAGCCACCTGATTGATTACCGCTTTTATGATGCCGATTAATTGGTTATAAGTTTTTCCTGTATCATGTCTTTCCGGCACCATAGTTGAACCCGTTATATTATAGATATTAGATAAGTGTGTCATGCACCCTATAAATGCTAGCAATGTTAACTCCACTTGTGGTTAATACCCTCTATTATAGTGTTATAAGTTCCTACTTTGGGAAATCATTCTTTCCCCCAATATAGTTTTTGTCCTTTTCTCGTCTTGATGACCTGTCTGCCAACCCATTTATTGACCTATGTGTCCATGTGAATGTAACATCTTTTCCTCCTCTAACATTTTTTTTAATCTCCCTTATCATGTTCTTATATACCCGAGGGCCTGCACCTTTTTGGTTGCACTGTCCCACCACTACTTAGAGCGAGTCACCTTCTGCCACTATATTTTTTTAGTGTATTAAAGAGCATTAAATGGATTTTACCAATGGCTATACCCTACAGAATAAAATATAAGATGGAAAAAATGCTCCTGGCCTCTAATAATACTGAAAACGTTTAAAAATAATGTAAACTATTTTTTTGATAAGTTAAAAAAGTAAAATAAAATTCTCCTTCACATTATTTGTTTACTTAAAAATTCTTTTTTGATAAGGTTAAAAAATTTTCATGTCCCTGTTGAAAAAAGCCATCACAAAATATTTTATAGGGGTCTTCTGTGGGATTCTTTTACCTTGCAGTGAGTTACAGCCTTTGAAATTTCAGTTGAACATTTTTAGTTTGATCTTTGTGTAAATCTAAGCAAGAAGATGCCATTCTGGACATCCTGTTAGTTGATATTAATTATGCTGAGTGAAATTCACCCTGGACTTGTTCATGTAAAGGGGATGCTACTTTTCGCTGGTAAAAGAGAGGATGCAATTTTTTCTTATTCTCAGAGAAAGTTGTTATATTATTGGACAGATATGTTTCAACACCTAGCCCTGTTGGCTTGGGAAATAATTTGAAGTCCAAATCATTGTCAAACCCCAGATGGCGAAGAGTGGTTTTCAAAATTAGTGGTGCTGCATTGGCTGGGAATGGTCCTCAAAATATTGACCCAAAGGTTCATTCTTCTTCCACTATTAACTAATATCTGGATGGGTTGGTGAATGATACAAGATAACATGTTATTTGGTTTGAAATCTATAAGTTGGGTTATGCCAGGTTATCATGATGATTGCAAGGGAAGTTGCCACTGCTTGTCACTTAGGTGTGGAGGTAATCCAGTATTCTCCTCCAGGTTTCATTTGAGTTTTCCTTGTTATCTTATCTCCATCCTTTATGACCCGGGAGTTTCTCTTTTTGCATTTCTTTGTGTTTATTAGGTGGCAATAGTTATTGGTGGTCGCAATTTCTTTTGTGGGGACACATGGGTAACTGCAACTGGTCTTGATCGCTCCACAGCATACCAGATTGGGTAAATGGTTCTTAAATTATTGTCTATTGATACTAATATTATCTCTTTCTTCACTTGGTGTCAGAACATCATTTATAAAATAGATCACAATGTTATGCCTTTGGTGCCTTCTTCCATGTTTTTATAAGCTGTAGAAAATTCGAACTTTTAATTTGTTATACTTTTTTTTGATTGTTAATGTTGTCAGCTTTATTGATTTATAATCATCATCTATGCCTTGTCCCAATTATATACAGTCAGCTGCATGAATCTTGTTTCACCATTTGGGTTTGTACTTTAAAATTTTATTTTCCTATCCCTAGAATAAAAGTCCTAAAGATAGGAAATATAATTCAGTGTGAGACCAATGTAACCATACTACAGCTGCATGAATCATCTTCCAACTCTTGTTTCAACTTTTGTGTGTATTTCATGATTTATCATGGGCTTTCCCCTCATGGCTTGTTCTGTAACATCAGCATTTAACATCTGAAAAGCAAAAAAGTTTGAAAAACTTTGAAAATTTGTGATTTCCTGTTTTCTCTGAAATCGGAATGCAGAGAATGTTGTCCTGAAGTCTAAAGTCTAAATCCTAAGTAGAAATGTCTGTTTTACAATTTTATCTCTATTTTTTTTTGATAAATGTACAATACTACAATTTACCTCTATGGATGAATAAATGTCTGTTGTTCCGAAGACATTTTTTGATAAATGTCTGCGTATGTTATTTATCAATTTAAAATTAATAAATAAATAATAATTAATTAACTAAGTAACCAAAATGATTTAATAATAAAAAGTATTAATTATTTAATAATTTACAATTAAAAAGTAGTTAATTAATTGATTATCATAATTAGTATTAATCAATTAATTAATAACATTAATAATAATTAATGAATTAATAAATCAATAATTATTTAATGAATAAATTACTTAAATACTTCAAAAATAATTAGGTAATTATTTTTCTTCAAACTTAACCAAGGGCATTTTTTGACTAAAAAATGTTATGGAATTACACACACCACTTAGGCAGTAGGATCTTGCAGCTGGCTGGATGCCCCTAGTTTCTTTATTATGAATGCTGACCCTCTTTCAGGTCTTGCTCTTCTAGTTTCTTTATTATGAATGCTGAACTGTCAAAGTAAACCATATAGTTTATTTTACAAGTTTTTGTGGTTAGTGTGATTTATGGCCTAACCGCATGCCTTTCAACTGGTATCAGGATGATGGCAACTGTGATGAACTCGATATTGCTTCAGTCAGCTCTAGAGAAGTTGGGTATTCAGACACGCATTCAATCTACATTTCCAGTGCAAGAGGTTATTGAGCCATACAATAGGAAACGGGCTGTCCGGCATCTTGAAAAAGGAAGGGTTGTCATATTTGGTGGCATTGGGGCTGGTACTGGAAATCCACTTTTCACAACTGATACAGCTGCAGCTTTGAGAGCTTCAGAAAGTATAACAAGTGCAGCAAATCCCAACTCCTCTAATCTTGTTTGTTTTCTTTTCATTGCTTCTGTTTCTTCCCTTTGTTCTGGAAGGAAAATTTGATTTTTTTGCCTTTATACCCATTGTCAGTAAATGCCGAAGCAGTCCTGAAGGGTACACATGTTGATGGTGTGTATGATTGCCACAGAAGCAACAACAACAATGTAGCATTTGAGCACATTTCTTTCAGGGAGTTGACCTCCAGAGGTATTACTGCCATGGACTTGATGGCAATAACATTTTGCGAAGAGAATGGAATTCCTGGTACAGATACTTTGTTCTCACCCTTCATCTTGTTATTAGTTTGTATGTTTCATGGTTTTGTTATTGAACGGGGAATTCAGTTGCTTTTCTGAAGTATATTCCTCCTATGTTGCAGTTGTGGTATTTAATCTACATGAGCCTAGCAACATTTCTAGAGCATTATGTGGAGACCAAGTTGGTACCTTGATTGATCAAACGGGGAGGATTAGCTGATGCATATGTGGCATGTCTTCTCTGATCTGTGTCAAGACCTTAGCAGCACATGAATTCCTCAAAACAAGATCTCGAATTCCTGAAAAGTGAAAATTGTGGTCCCTTTAGTTTGGCGGATTTCATCAAAGCCCTGAAATTCCTGCTTGCGATGTGTATATGGGAAGGTAGGAGTAGGTTTGGGATTTCATCTGGTGCCATTGACTGATAATTGCAGAGTTAGATAAGTGCTTTATTCCGTACTTGGTTAAAGAAGCAAGCAAAGAAGGCAATTTATTCGTTACAGAGTTAACTTCTACTGGCCTGTATCATTTTTCCCCTTTGTATTTTACTTTGCCTGTATATCTTTTTTTTTTTTTCAAGGCTGTTGTCATAAAGATAAATTGGTTGTTGGGCAACCGGGTAAGAACGGAATTCTTTTAGCTTCATGACCAAGCACAGTCTTGGTTGTATTTGATTCAAGTGGTTTATTTTTATTTGTTTTTCAGCTGAAATCTTTCAACAGAATATAATCCAAGCTAATGTTTATTTTAATGTTGTATGTTTACTAAGGTCTCTGAAGTAATCAAGTAATATTGGATAGTCTCAAATTAGACCTCTAATTTATTTATTAATAGTATATTAGCATTCGATTCGATCAAAGTCCAATCTGAATTCATATCCATTGTGAACCAATATCAAGCTTTGTGTCATTTGATTTGGAATCATATTCTGTTGGTCAATGAAGATTTTAACTTCAATGTATGTATCCCCCAAGATGAGGATGCCCCTTTGGTTTGGGATATTGTGAGATCGATTTGGTTGGGCAATTGGAGTACGCAGACAATGAAAGAGGCTTGAGAATTATTATAAGCTCAGTGGATTCTAGGACATTAGAGCATTAGATTGACATAAAAGACTGATTATTGAGAAGAAATCGCTTACTCGGAGTGGTTTAACGTGAAATAACGGCCTTTGATTTGATGCATTGTTGTGGTACCACTTAATGTCAGGCTGTGCTTCAYGGTTTTAGCCCTAGGCTACTCCCAAGTAGAATAGCTCATTTTTGAGCCTGATTATCCCAAGTATCTGCAGCAGAGGATTAAATGGCAAATCTCCTGGTCTTGCTTGGGTATAACCAGAATAGGAGAAAACATTACCTGCGGGCTGCGACTATACTTGTTCATGGGCTGGGCTGGGTTAGGGTTGGTCTTGATCTATTTATAAACAGAAAATTATTAGGCCTAAGTCCGAGTCTGGCCTGACTATCAGGCATAGATCTTAAGCCTGAGCCCAGCCCTATATACAGCCCAAAGCCCAATTTTGATAGGTATTTTATACATTTAATATATGTAATATTTTTTTGATATTAATTTTATTATTATATAACATATAATTATATATTTTGTGTTATTAACATATATATTATATTTCTGATATATTTAAGATTATCATGCTGGGTTTATTTGGAAAAGCCCGAGCCTGGTCCAAAAATAATCAGGCTCGATTTTTAGAGCCCAAACCCAAGCCCGTGAGCTTAAAATTTTGTCCAAACCGGATTTAAGATGGGCTGGGCCGGTCCAACCCATCGGATTACCCGGCCCATGAACAGGTCTACCTGCAACTAGGGTAACAGAATAACTTAACGACCACCAAATGATTTTTGAACACACCAGTGTTTTAATGAGGCACCGGTTTGATGTGATATTTTGTCCTTTTCACCAAACGTTGTCTTGTTCAAAAATCACCTGGGAGGTCGTTGAATTGTTCTACGACTAGTTGCAGGTAATGCTTTCTCCCAAAAGAGAAAACATGCAGCAAATTCTAAGACTACTATTAATACTTTTCTTAGGCTTAGTTTGGAAATACTATAAATACAAATTCGTAGAGTGCAAAACATTGTATTTTGTATTGTTTTGTATATACTTGCGCTGTACATATTTGTATTTGTATTCCTTCCAAACTGAGCCTAACGGTAAAAATATAATTATGTAGAATGCAAAACCTTGTATTTTGTATGTATCGTACGTATTTGCATTTGTATTTTTTCTAAATTGAGCCTTATTAGAACTCTTTCCATTTGGGTTGGTGGAATGAGTCTGGATTTCCTGCACTTGGTTGTGTGGTGTGGTGCACTTCCAATTACATTGAAACATGTGAGACTTCGCATGGTATCTCAAGTCACATGTGCGAGTTTGACAGACTAGCATAGCTGTCAAACTCGCACATGTGACTTGAGATACCATGCGAAGTCGCACATGTGACTTGGATTTCCTTTTGCATTTTTTTAATATCTCAATTTTTTCAAACTAAAAATTTAAAAGAAATAATAAAAATAGATACTTTGTCCGCGCAGTTTGACAGACCTAGCCCTTCCATGGAGCAGATGCCATTAACGAACGATTGTAGGGGAAAAAAATTCTGGTGTTGAATTGTTTATACTGAAGTGCTAGCATAGCTCCTCCATGATAAACTTGCTTTCTCTAAGCCAATGTTCGTTGTTTCTTATTCTGCAAATGAGAACTGAAGCAACAAACCGGCAAATCTTATTGTTTTGATAACTTTATAGTGTATGCTCTATCCAATTGATTGAGGTAAAGATTCAGAAATCTTCAAGTTGAGGTAAGTTCAAAAGCAAAATTAGTAGACGTTAATTACTCTGTAACATTTTTCCTAATTTGTGAAGTCTCCATAAGGGAGCCATTACCGAATCCAGTTCATAATGGGTTGCAAGTGTTTCGAAAAAAACAGAGTACTCAAGTGAATAAGAAACGATGGGCAGCTGAAACAATTTCTTGCAAATGACTTCCACCCTTATTTGGTCTACAATCGTTTATTAATGCATCGGCACCAGGTTAGAGCTGGTTTGGTTTGCAATAGTTTTCTTTGTTTTCGTTTTTCAATACTCATCAGTCTAAGATTTCATATGCTTCACTAATCCCTTGATAGTTTTCCATAGCAATATCTTCATCTGTGGAGATCGGCATTCATGGAGTGATAGATTTGTGCCTATTGACAATAAACTTTTCTATTTTCTTCATCCCATGTTTCATGAGATATATAGAGTAGAGTGTATATATCTCTATTAGGGTTTTACAGACAATATTAAAGTTTGTCATGGAATAGTGTTGAGGTTGCGAAAAGTTTTCACCATTTCTTTTAATTTCTAAGTATTATTAAAAAAACTAATAGAGGCAAACTGGCCGCATATTTGAGTTGGAGTTCTATCCAAATTCTAACGTGTCCCAATTTGATTGGGAGTGCACTCTTGCACACACAAAACCAGGTGCAGAAAATCCAAACTCTGGTGGAATAGGGGTCTGGAAAATGATGAATTCTAATGTCAAATTGTCAATCGTTGGTTGGGTGGATTCGGAATCTGATTCCTGTTATCGGTGAAATGGCATTATCCCATTTGAGGGAATGGCTATTTCTTCCCCTCCCCCTCTGAGAATGAGAATTCCATTCCAATCGATAACAATTCTGATTCTGATTCTCAGGGATGTACCGTTATGATTCCGATTCCAATGGATTCTGATTCCAACTGCGAACCAAGCGGACCCATTTGAGGGCCTTGATGTATTGTGATTTCTGGAATACTCTCAGATATATAGTTGAGCGAACAAAATACTTGTCAACGTGCAGTACTGGTACTGTTATTATCAAAAGAAAGCCCATTTACAAATAGCCGCTGTCGAGCAAGCTGAATGAAGCAGAGGATTCTGACTCTCAGAGACTACAGTCCAAAGATGAAGACAAGAGAAGCCTTGTTTTGTTTGGTGGTGGTCGAATCGATCAATGGTGCCAGATATCTCAGACAGTCGAAAGAGCTTAAAACAGTTTTGTCTGTTCACCAAAATAGACATTCCATATAAAACAAAAACACTAGTTAAAACAAAATGGAACAACAAGAAAGCTATCTGGTCCTGGAGAGTGGAGAGTGCAGAGCCTATCACCTACCATTTGCAATGAGATAATGCAAACCCAGAATAAGAAACAAAGGAGAGAGAGAGAGAGAGAGAGAGAGAGATTCAGCGCCGCACCCATCAATAATTGGCGAGGTTGTCTTCGGTGGTGGCGACGGAGGGCGAGAGTGAATTGCGTGATTCATCCAAGTCCTCGCCCAGTGGGGATTGCTCCACCCTTATCTCCTCGATCATCTTCGCCACCTCTGACATCGTAGGCCTCTTCTCCGCCTGCTCCACCACACAAGCCAACCCCACATTCAGCATCGCCACCATCTCCTCTTCTATGTTCTTGTACCTCAGCAGTTCCGGGTCGAACACTTCCGCCGTCCATTCCTCCCTCACCACCGATCTTACCCACTTAGGAAGATCAACACCCTGTTCGCCATGCGGACTTGAGGCAGGATACTGCAACGGAAGCCTCCCTGTCAACACCTCCAGCAGCAGAACCCCAAAGCTATAGACGTCTGCCTTCTGTGACAGCTTCTTGGTTTCGACTTGCTCCGGCGCTCTGTACCCTCCCAATCTCGCCGTGGCATGAACTGGGCTCAGAAGCAGGGCCAACCCAAAATCGGAGATGCATGCCACACCATTCTTGTCAAGAAGCACGTTCGACGACTTCACATTCCCGTGTGGAATCTTTGATCCACTGTACTCCTCGTGAATCCGTGCAAGCCCACGAGCAGCTCCCAGCACCAAACTGATCCTCGTTGTCCAGTCTAAAGGAATCCTCCCCGGTCCTCGATTCGCTGATTCAAATTAACATAAAATTAATCAGTACTCAATTCGACTGTATCAAATCTCTACGAGTCGTGATTACTTAACCATTACCATGGAGAAGAGAATGCAGGCTTCCATTGGAGAGGTAATCGTAGACAAGTAGCTTCTCCTCCTTGGCATAATAATAAGCCCTGAGATGAACCAGGTTGGGATGCCGGAGATTCCCAATCAAATCCATGTACTGTTCGAACTCTTTCCTCACACATGGGTTCGCGTCTTTGAGCCTCTTCACCGCCACCGTGCACCCATCTTCCAATATCGCTTTGTAGACTGTCCCAAAGCTTCCTTTTCCCAGCATCTCCGCCGATGCCCGGAGCAGGTCCTCCAGCTCAAATTGCTTCCTTCTATCAAAGAAAACAAGCTTGCTCCGGTCAGTGGCCGTCGTTCCATCGCTGTCTCCCCCACCGCCACCTCCATTGTTGGCATAAATCTTCTTCTCACCCGTATAGCTGCCGTTTCTCCGCCTGTCTCTAGAACTGATAGTCGAACCACTCTCTCCTGAATTTCTGCCGCAGTAATAAGCAACAACAAACGACGTGATTACCAGTAAAGCCACAGAATTCCCAACCACAATGGCGACAATGGCGCCGGTGCTGAGTCCCTTTCGGGATTCTCCCTTCCCCGTCGGACCTGCAGCAGTCATAGCAGGAAAGGAGCTGGGGTTGGACGGTACCACGGTCTGAGCCGACGCAGCCGTGGGAGGGGAACCTGTGAACGAACAGACCGGTAACGGGCTCATACCGCAGAGCCCTGCGTTTCCCGCAATACTTCGCAATCCGAATTTTTTCACCAGTCCGGATGGCACCTTCCCGTACAACTCGTTATTAGATAAATTTAGCTCCCTGAGCTCCGGCAGCGCCGTGGAGAGATCGGGAACCTCCCCGGCAAGCACATTGTTCTCGAGTCTAATAGTAAGGAGATGAGTTAAGTTGCGAATCTCCGTAGGGATGGGGCCTCGCAGATTGTTGTCGGAGAGGTCAAGCCGGAGGAGACGCTTGAGGGAACCGATCTCAGCCGGGACCACGCCGGAGAAGTCATTTCTGGCGAGGTACAGCAGCTTGAGATTAGAAAAATTGGTGACGGGGAGAATGCTACCGTTGAGCCTGTTCCCATGGAGGTCGAGGAGGCGGAGCTGGTCGAGGCGAGCAAGTGAATCGATTGGCCCACGTAGGTCTAGAGAAGGGAGAGAGAGAGCAGTTACCCTGCCGTCGGTGCAACGGACGCCGAGCCATGAGGCGGAGCAGGCGTTGCCGGTGGTCCAGTTGGCTCGGAGGTTTCCGTGCGCGTCGGTCTGGGAGCGGAACTGGACGAGCGCTGCCGTGTCGTTGGGGAGAAGAGAAGCGGAAGCAGGCAGAGAGTGTACGAGATCGAGAGCGGAGAAGAGGAAGAAGAAGACGACGAGAGTGAAGAAGGAAGGAGGCTGCATTTTGGACACTCGCGGCGAGCGTCGCTACTCGCTACGAAGTTTGTTTCAATCAGGAGAAGCGGGAAGGAGAATAATAATAACACCATAAATTATTTTTTTTTGTTTTTTCGTTAAAATGGAAAGTGAGAGAAAAAAAGAAGAAGGAAATTTGAGAATATGATTGAGGCTAAATTACAGACTGCCACCTGTACTTTTGAGTTTAATGACACTTATCCCCCAAAGTTATATTTGTAACAAAGACCCATTCTATATTTTCAGATTTCGGTACTTTGCCCATTCTGTTAGCATTCCGTTAACCTCAGAAAAGATTCTCATATCATGTGTGTGTAAAAACATTTTTGTATCCCCAAGCTGCCCTTGTATCATTCCATCAAAACATTTTGTATATATATATATAAAGAGATACTGCCTCTATAATGCTTATTTTTATGTATTTATTGGAAAAATGTTTATTTTAAGTACGACGACATCAATAAGTAATTATGAAAGGTAACTTGGCCTTACTTATTTTTATGTATTTATTGGAAAAATGCTTAATTTAAGTTACGACGGGCAACGGCATCAATAAGTAATGATGAAGGATAATTTGGCCTTTTAATGACTTTATGCCACATGTTATTTCTATGTAGGCAATGGTGTATCGTTGTCAAGTCTGTGGGAATCATCTTGGTTTCACTTTAGAACCAATTTAGGTTTACATCGGACGCTTTGATAGACTGGTGCGAGCGTCCAGTATTACCTTGGCTAGGGCCGAGGAGGACATGGCCTTGTGTGACGTACGCACCTCGGCAGGAGGGCTGACCTCTCGCCAAGAACTCACCAACCTAACTAAGGTTTGAGGTAGTGACCTACATGGAGTGGCGACCGACTTCTGCTATGTGTGACTTATCATCTTTGATTCCTCCGAGACCATGCAAACCTGACTGATAGAATTGAGTTGCATGTCGCCTGTTTCAGAGCTAATCAAATAAGCCATATCATTATCCACTAAAACCACCTCCGAGGATGTCGAGCCAATAAGCCACGTTCCCTCGAAGATCTCAAATGTGCTACGTGTGACTGATGCCTATATAAAGACACCTCCTTCATCTACAGAAGGTACACACAATTGTGCACTGAATTCATTATTGCATTCTAAGCTCTCTTGCTCTCCTTTTACTCTCGTTGTTTACTTAAGCATAGGAGGTGCCCACCCCAGGTACTTTGACACTATTCTCTTACAACTTGGCTTGTCGACTTTACCAATTCGACGTTCAAACTGTCTTCCAGCAAGTTGTCAGATCGTGCACCATCAAGACTTATATGTGTTTGGGATATAAGCTTGAATAAGTAGATTTTTTTTTTCAAGAAATAAATTCATTGGGGCTTATTTTAAGTTGCTTTTTGAAAAAAAAAATGCTTATTGCATTTTTGATCCACCGGAGCTCTAGGCTTGCCATGTAATTTTCAAAGTACCTATACTACCCTCATTTGGAGCTCTTGGCTTGCATGTAGTTTTCAAAGTACCTATACTACCCTCATTTGAAAGAAATACTTTTTCACCAAACACTTGTAAGCGCTTATTAGGATAATCACTAAGCACTTATTCATCCAATAAGCACTCCCTTAACAAATTTCTGTTTTGGTATTTTCTTCTCTCAATCTATTCATCTTTAAATGGGCATTTCAGTAATTTATCTTTTCCGTCAATTCCAAGGTTAAAAAATACAAGCTTTAATAATGGTAAGATTTGAACCTTGGTCATTGTGTTTTAATAACCATAACTCCATGCCACACCACATTTCCTTGTTATAGTGATATGCATTTTTATTTTGAAGTAAATTCTCTTTTTTCAGTGAATATTTGTCAACAAACATTAAAATTAATATATATTAATAAATATTAAGATAAATTATATTACTTTTTCTATATATATATTATTGAAACCTGTAGATTCATTTGATTTTTTAATATACATCTCTTAAAATTACATTTCCGATAGTTGAAACCTTGATCAAATCCATCCATAAGATGAACAAAGAGTTAGAATTAAAAGTTCAAAGTGGGTTTAAGTATCATTAGTCCAAATTACTGGTGGCATTCTGTAATTTAACCTATGGTTAAAGCCAAAGAGGAGTGGCGAGGGCATTCGTTGGTAGAATGATTGCTGCGTCCACCCTKCCAAACAGAATGAGTAGAATTCGAAATTCCTCCCCCTTTTTCTTTTTCTCTTCCAGGGAGCCGCTTTCCACTTTTTCTTTTTCTTTTATTTTAGTCTTTTCTTTATTATTATTTATCTTTTCTAAAAAAGGGAAATGTTAAAGTAGGCCAAGGACAGACACACAGTAAAAGATGGTGTATCAAAATAGGTGGAACAGTCAACACTAGGTGAAGTGGGGCCATCACTTGGGCAGGGCCATATATGTCTCAGCAAGGACCTGGGGCCCACATGAACTGAAGCCACGTGTACACTGCTACGTGGGTCCAATATGTGATGTGGCACAGGACCCAAGAGAGAGAGGGAGAGAGTTTGAATTGAATTAATGGGATAGTTAAAAACAGAATTTTTTGGGGATTAGAAAACGTGAGAGCTACGCTGCAGTACTGCATGGATGAGTGTGGTCAATGTACAACTTTTTTGCTTTGTTTAGATAAAAGAACTAAAGAAAAAAAAAAAACCACAAAGCAACTTTTTAATGGATATTTATATATATGATTTGGGTACTGGGAATCGCAGAGAGGAGAGAAGGACAAACCCAATTACCCAACAACAGCCAGAGCCAGAGATTTGAGGTTAAACGTTGAAGTCCACCCCACTAAAGTCTCTAATTCTCTCTCTCTMTATATAAATATAAAGTTATTTATGCCTGAAAATCCAAAAGGAGAAAAAGACGAAAGAGAAGCTCCTGCAGTCCTGCTGCTTCTGTTACTGCAGTGCTGCAGCAGCTGAAATGCTTTTGAGGGAAGGAGAGAGAAGGGGATATGTTGTTATTATAGCTGGACTGACTGCTGCTGCTGGACCCTCCTGTGGGCTGTGGCTATATTCCCACTTCCCAACAAGTGAATGAGGAGAGGATTATTAAAAACACAACAGCATAGAGAATAAAAATGAATAGCTGGCCTATCATCACTAAGAAAAAAAAAAGCTTTGTTTTGTTTAAATTTTAGGGAATTTGTTAAAACTCATCATGAGTTTTTAGCATTTCTTTTAAACTTATCATAACTTGTCACTAACTAGTTCAAATCAACCCCCCACAAGTTTCACACCACATCCCCACTTTGTATTGGGAATATCTCCTGATGATATATTCGGAATGATGATGTCATCATCGGGAGATGTTCCCAATACACGACGGGGATGTACTGTGGGACATTGTGTGGGGCTGATTCGGTCTTGTCACTAACATGACGCTAAACAGACTAACTGGTGTTAATATATTACTATTTTAACCTTCATAGAAAAATATATAATATATACAAAACAAATTAATGGGTGCTAATATATTACCATTTTAATATTTAGACATGAAAAAAAAGGAAAAAATTAAAAAAATATTTTCAAACATAAAATACATAAAAACATAGAAATTACAAAAAATATAAAAATTTCAAACAAAATAAAAAAGCTATTTTCAAATTATAGAAACTACAGAAATTGAAAAACAAAATCAGAAAATAAAAATTGTAGAAAAAACACCAAAAATTATAGAAAAACATAGAAATTACATATAAATAACAAAAAACAGAAAAAAATTTATAGATTGTAGAAAATAGAAAATGTAAAAAAAACATTGGAAACTGAAAAAGACCACTTTTCCTCTAACTCACCATTCAAGGGTAATTTGGTCATGAAAATTGTTATTTATGCTGACATAAATACCTCTGTTAAGAAGCATTAGTGGTGCACTAACGGAAGGTGAATTTTGGAAAATAAAAACTTAATGATATGGTGAGTTTTAGACATTTCGAAAAGTTGTAGTGAATTTAAGGGAAATGTTGAAAACTCATGGTGAGTTTTAGACAATCTCCCTAAATTTTAAAGAAGAAAGAAAAATCAAACCTTTGACATTCAGAACCTCTCTCTCTCTCTCTCTCTTGCATACAGCATACCAGCTGTAGCTAAGCTAGTTAGACCACAAATTCCATAAGAAAAGGTTAAAGTCATTTTTCCACTCCCATTTGTTRTACATTAAAATTGAACTCAAAAGTCTTGTGTGTGGATGTGAGATGTAGCAAGCTAAGAGTTTTGCCACCTCATCAGCTCCCCTTGCCAGCATATGATGGCACCTCATTGCCACATGGCAAAATGACAATGTAACTTAATTGGTGAACCCAAAAGTTGCCATGAAAGGTTTCAAAGGGAGAAAAATAACCCCAAGTAATAGTAGCTAATATTAATTGCTAATTAGATTTAATTAATTAATATTGGGTCTGATGAGTCTGAGTCTGAGACTTAGGCTGGCCGGCTTTGTTGGAGGTGTTGAAGCATCCCAACTCCCAGGTACACAACACACATGGAGAGACAGCCACAGCCTGCTGAGGAGCAGCTCATAAATGGGGGAGGGTACGACATTAACAGCGAAATCTTCGCCCTGCCATGCTGCAGTGCAAGATGGAGCTGTCGAGGAAGGCCCGTTTGGTGTGTTGTTTTCTACGGGTTGTCAGTTTTTTAGAAATTCCTGTTTGATTGAAAAAAGATTCAAAAGATCTTTCAAAAAAGACTTGTCAAAAATTATTGGATAGATAATGGACAAAGGATGATCTTAATTAATTGGATCAATATGATTCCACCCTTATCTAAGTGGATTAAACTCAAATATATTGTATCCATTTATTAGCAAAATCGATTTGAATGTTTGTAATTTTATAATCATAGTTTCAACCTAAAATCTTAAGTTATGTTAGGTGAGGTATTTAAATAGGTTTTTAAAGTGTGGATAAATACATGTCCATCCATATCTTGTACTGAAATTTAATTAATTATAATGAAAGAAAAAGATTAAACACTAGATCATTTGGTCAAACAGACTCTTGTATGATTTCAAGAAACCATATAAGGTGGGGTTCCTAAATAGGTTTTATTCTTTAATAACAATGTTTTAATTATTTTT